TTTTGTTAGCTAAGTACTTACTATCATGCCCCTCTTTAAGTCTTATTGATCAGTGTGTTTACCCATTGTCTTGCAGACCAACCAACTGTAATATGGCTGTATCTATGTACTTAAAAAACTTAAGCTGACCCTTTATTTATCACATTATGTATGTCACTTGCACATCCAAGTACTTTAGAGTGTTCGCCGAATGAGTGTATGGGTCGTAATAAAGTGACCAGTACGTGAAGCAGATAGTTGTTACAACAGTACAGAAATTATTACTACATACTGACAAAATACACACAAAACATCGCACGGTAGCAAGTACTAACTAAACAATCAACATTCTGTTTAAATGGGAAACAGATCGTGTTGTTCACACACATCATTCTAGTACACTCTTAGAAAATAATATTCAGCTCCTTCAATCAAATATATCTGGCAGTTATGTTTCCAAAATATTGTTATACCTTATTAAGAACTTATCATTTCTTAGAAATCTTATTGTTTCAATTTCAATAAAGTGTTCGGTAATTACTGTAGTTTGCTTTGACAGTTGCGAGTTAAAATGATAATTCGAAGAATAACTGTTAATACTATAGATTTCTCACAGTGTGGTGCAAATTAAAACGAATCCGATAGACTTGTAATATTGGCACACTCACAAATTTTGGATACGCAACACAAAATTATAACTTTCAATTATCTTTAAATATTCCAGCTATTAATTGTTACGTCAGTAACCTTTAGTCACCATTATAGCATCAAACTCTATAGCTGTATATATATATATATACACGATAGATATTTTTATTTGGTATAGTAGTTTAGGTGTTGAGCCAGGAACGGTCAAAGATGAAGTCCCCTTTCTTCGCTTATTACAGAATAGCTCTGTCTGTGTCGCAACTTATAAAAAAGCGAACGTGACATTGTTAACTCGCGAAACATACAGTCAACGAACGTTTCAAACAATGATAGATTGAACGCAAAGATTGTGAGATTTTCCTTAACAATCAGGTTTCGAATGTCCGCTTTGAGTTCACTTGGCAAGCGAGGCTAGAAAATCGATCTGACTTTTTTTTTCCATTCTGATCTTCCTACAGATCGTCGCTTACTTAAATGCATTATTAGTCAGTAAATGCGGTTCTTAAAAGATTCAATTTGCTGTTTAGTTCATCTGATATTTAACACAATACACCAAGATCTGTGTAAATGAATCTCGATTTCCTAGAGAACTAAGTAGAAAAATGTAAATATCACAAAATTGTTCAATTGCTTTGTGCATATGTTTCGTTCACATTCCTAGGTGCTTAGCATAGTGATAAATAAACTTATCACAAGAATGTTAACAATCCAAAGTAGTGGACTGTAAATTTGGTATGCGGTATGTATATGTATTACCATTAATAGTGAATTTAGATAAAGTTCCAAAAGATAAATCATATATTTATTTGTTGTTAAGCGCAAAGCTACACAATGGACTGAGTTGTGTCTAACGAAGCTCGTATTTTAGCTTTATAATACTGTTAGAAAACTTAATTATGCTTTTTCAGCTCTTATAGATGAAAATTTAAAATTTCTTAACAAAGGCCAAGGTTTATAAATGTTTCCCTAAAAGTGTGTCTAACATAACCAAATATAACACGGAAGTATTTAATGATAGAAGTAAGACACTCGTTACGGTGCTTTGTAGCCTTCTATAGACCTATAGTCTATTATTTCTTTTGATCATTGTTATATTTTAATTTTTACTCAAATCAGTGTTTTATCATTTGTTTATCAACAGAAAAAAAAAGAGATAAAACTTAAGCATGAGACTTGTGGTTTAAACATATAAAAATTACCGCAGTTTATTAGCGAGTGTTCATAATTCATTAAAGCAAATTGAGGTATCGCACGTGTTTAAACAGAGAAGTGTGTTGTTTTAAGTTTCTATATCAGAACATATCTTCTCTTTGATAAAACAGTTGAACATTGAGTGGAAATTTAACTTCTAGTTCTCGCTGTCATTTCAATACATAACCTAGTGAGTTGCGAAATGCATCTAATTTAATACATTTTACAAATGCTTCTTCAAATGTGTAGCACCCTTCAGTCAAGAATGCTCATTACGTACGTTTCACATATTATTAATTATGTACAACGTATTACCATTAAAGGGAAATTACAAATTATTTACAGTCCTTATTAAATAAATTCTCTAAGAACAGACATGATCTTATTCATATTATTAATTATGAACAACGTATTACCATTAAAGGGAAATTACAAATTATTTACAGTCCTTATTATATAAATTCTCTAAGAACAGACATGATCTTATTCATATTATTAATTATGAACAACGTATTACCATTAAAGGGAAATTACAAATTATTTACATTCCTTATTATATAACTTCTCTAAGAACAGACATGATCTTATTCCTGGCGCCCCTACACCCACATTTGAGGCAACACAGTACTACCTTAAGCAGCGGGCTTTGAATTCCACAAACTATATGCTTGACTAGTTAACCACCTCCAGCGTTAATGCATGATACAGCAAGGCATTCTCTCATAATTATGGCAATTTCTCAGAATTACAATATCGCTCTCTATCTCATTTATCTTTATTGTCTCTTGACCACCATAGTAAGATATGAATATCCACAAACATAGTCATACGTCAACAACCTCATATTCCACCTTTTTTCTCTCTCTCTGTATATTTATGGTTCATTAAGTAATATATATATATAGGAAATTACGCAAACTAACATATATATATATAGATATATATGTATCAGTATTCTCGACTGCAATACAATCAGCAAAACATTAAACATTTTATTTGTCAATGCAATCTTTACTGTCACTTGATAACAAAGGGGGAAAGGATAAGAGTTGCAGGAGTATTTATAACAAAACGTATTCCATGAAATCAAACTACGGTTATTATATATAATTAATCAACTGCACCTGTAATTTGTCTAAGAGTGTGAAAAAAATAATAAAAAGAACGGCAGAAAAAATAAAAAATGAAATATCAACTCATATAAATATCTGAATGGATAGAAGTATTTATGAAAAAATAATAATTATATGGTAGAATGTTAGCTTTTATCAATCCTTTAAGGTTATAGTCATTTTGACAGAGAAGATGGAATGTCAGCTTTCGTAACAACTGTAAAGCCGTTGCAATTATATCAAAGAAATAACGATGTTTTCAACTTTCATTTGATAACGTTATCATTTGTTCTATCTAAAATCATAATACACTGATAATTAAACTCTTAACAAAAATAAATAAATTAATATTTCTTTATTCTTACAGATAAACCACGGCAGAAACAAACCTGTTTAACTTCATTTCTTCGTGCACTAAAAAAAAAAAAAAACACACCAAAAAACGAGAACGTATAAAATAACAACCACCAAGACAGACAAACGAATATTGAACTGCCAAATATATCAGGCCATTAGCGTACTGTTAAAAACAATGGACTTCTATTTGTACTAAGGTAATTTGCTGTAGACAGTCTTGTAAGAAACACACCATGCCAGGATTATCCTGTTTTGGTTGAGTTATCTTCTTTTTTGTTTGTTTATTCAATAGAAACTCTACAAGAAAGAAAGTGTAATTTGGAAGAACCAGTAGTAATTTTCACTGTTACTCTGGACAACTGCCAGGCGTTGTGAAGCATCGACTTCATACCATACAGTTAATAACAGGTTAGCGGACAATTTGTCACAATGTGACTCTTTTGTGTGACAGTCTAAGGGCCTGGTTAATATTTATTCTTAGATTTGTACTGAGAAGCTTCAATCAATCAAAGTTAGTTGTTAATAAATTTAATAAGGCTCCCACAGTTTATCACTTACCTATTAAATGGCATTGCTGCTAATAACACCACTACTGAGAGTTAATTCATATATTGATCACTATGTACATACGCGAGTAGTAAAGTCCATGTTTTTGAAACATATCTGTACCAATAGGAATAAATCACTTTGGAAGATAATAATTAATATATTGCTTTCCATAAAAAAATAAACGATATTTCTGAGAAGTATTAACCTATATTTATTTCTTCTAGTGTAGTGATGCTTTTAAATACATTCCAGCCTTTATCAAATCCCACATGAAATTCACCTATTTACATTAGTTCTGGTGTAGTGATCCTGTTAAATATATTCTAGTCTATTTCAAATCACACATGATGTACATATCTTCATATTTCTTCTAGTGTAGTGATGCTTTTAAATACATTCCAGCTTTTATTAAATCCCACATGAAATTCACCTATTTACATTAGTTCTTGGTGTAGTGATCCTGTTAAATATATTCTAGTCTATTTCAAATCACACATGATGTACATATCTTCATATTTCTTCTGGTGTAGTAACACTTTTAAATACCATATAATATATTTCAATTCAAATATGGTGTTCATCTATTTATGTTTTTTATGGCTTAGTGGTACTTTTAATATATTCTAATTTATTCCAACTCACACATAATATACACCTACTTACATTCGTTCTGGTGTAGTGATCCTTTTAACATATTCTAATCTATTGCAAATCATACATGATGCGCATTTGTTTATATTTCTTTTGGTGTTATAATGCTTTAAATACCATCTAAGCTATTTCAATTCACATTTCACACATGGTGTATATCTGTTTATGTTTCTTCTAGTGCAGTGGCTCTTTAAAATCTAATCTGATCTATTATTATGGTGACCGTCATAAAGCATAAAAAACTGGTTGGTAACGCTCATCTATTGTTCAAAAAATCCGTAAAAAGTTCTAGATTGAATAAATAACATCTCATTCACATGATTTATTTGTAAGCAGGCACTTAATTTTATCAACAGAGTTATTGTCATGTGATGTAAACATTATCGAGTAAACGTTAGTAAAGTAATATTGTGAGACACTGTTTTCTACGAATCGATACGGCAAACACCAAGTCACAATCAAAAAGAGAATTGAAGTGTTATTATTGAAAGCTGATATTACTCATTCACTTACCTCTAAATCCTCCAGAGTCTTGAAACTTAAAATTGCAAATCCGTCTATAACGTCCTCCTCAAAAATTGGTTCTTTATTTTGTTTCTTACGAACGGTTTTCTCTGGCGTAGGTGAATGGTCCCTACTCTTCGGGCTTTCCTGGCCCTGGTTGCCAGAGTCATCCCGACTCCCCGGGCAGTCCCGGTCCAGGTCGACTGCTGGGTTCTGCCTCTGTGGCCTCGCGAGTTGCTCGCGACGACGGCACCGTTTACTTCGCTGCTTAGTGTCGCCTTCCATGTCACTCGCTTCTTCTCCTATAACACCAAAAATACCGTTACTTCATCATGGTCACATTTTACTAACAGTAAAGCAGAAGAAATAGACAAGTTGATAGACACAACAAATTGTTGCTCATGTTCACAATTTGCAACAGCCGCCGCTGAGCCTGCTGAACCTTTTGAATATTGGGATGAAATGGCGGAGATACAAGACAGGCGTGTTACGCAGGCGCAGAAGAACGGATGTGCTTCCGCCCGAGGAATTTAGCGCTCGACAAGACAAATAGACAGCTTTTAAACGATATTTATTTTGTGTTAGTTATGTTTCAAGAATGTAAATGCTTGTCCTCCAACAAGCTACGATACATACATATAAAGAATGATTGAGACTACTAAACGACATTGGAGAAAGCAATAAAACTGATCACCTGGTGTATAAAAGTTCAGTCTTCAGAGACAGTTGGCTACACTCTCCTATTTTAATCTTACAGGAAATAGTTTTAGAAATGTTAAGCTTTTTTTTGGAACATCTTAAGGTGTTATTGTGTAGAAATACGGCAAGAACACTACAAAAACAATAATATATGATGTTTTTGTATTCAAGCTCTAACAAGTTCATTGTTTCGCTAAACAAAATTTGTAGAAAAGGTTTGTGCTATGAAAACAAGCGTTTTATAAGCTGGCGCTAGGAAACAAACAAAAAAATGCATTTTTTGCCTCTCTGTGTTTCGTATTCTTCTATTTGTAAATGTTTTAGGAAATAATATATGTAAGGTAACAAATGAAGTGAACTTAAAGGGGAGATCCCTTTATGTAAAACTAAGAAACCTCTCAGGGAGAAAGTAGGTCATGCCACCAACTGTGCCAGCAGTCTGACACAATGCACACTACCCAGACAAATTCTATATCTTACTAAACAGTAATATTTAGTATGCCTGTCCAACAAATCTACATTCTATATACATATTAAATTGATAACAGCCAGAAAAAAGCAATTATTAATAAAAAAATTATAGAGTTAAATACAAATGAACGTTTTAAAGTATGTGGGAATGTTTGGATCGTTATTATCTACATATATTATTTGCAAAATCATACGAATGAAAAATAATTTTTGATAAAAAAAATTGTTACAAATACCTCTTTTAAACTAGTAGTAGACATAGCCGTTAGATAGAAATTATTGCGTATTTGTTTCATTTAGATTGTAGTCAATTGCATATCTGAAACAATACGTCTATTGTGTCTTCGCATATTATTACATATACAAGCAGTTTTTCAGTCTAATCGTACATAAATAGATATGCATACTCATGAAGTCTAGTTGTTAAACAGACGTTTTTTTTATGATATTTCTATTTCAGGCATTATTAAACAAACGTTTTTTATGATATTTCTATTTAAGATACAAGATGACGTCAAAGTGAAGAACACGTGCAGCAGAATCTTATAAGTATTTTAAACTGTCTGGCCTTCGAACGTCTCGAATAAACATGTTCAGTTTTATACACAACAAGTACGTTTACTCTTCGTAATCATTAAGATCACTGCAGGGTATAAAAATATGGGTAGCGCATTTCGGTAGTGCACGTCTTTCTCTCTCTGAGATGGCGCATAGTTTTAATATTTAAAGATAGAATGCTTTCCGATACAGATAGACATCGTTGATAAACGATCATGCTAACTATCAATGATAGATATATTTGATACAGCTATCAGTAATCGACACTGGTAGACAAATAGAGTAGGTATCATTGGTAGACATTGATGGTAAAAATTAACAGCAAAATTTCGTAATAAACATCGACGTTTGACATCAATGGTAGACAACAATGGTATATATATATATATATATTTATGGCAAATGTCGACTGTTGGCACTGATAGCAAAGAAAGCCTAGTAATATAAATTGATGGTAATGATAAACTGGTAAGCATTAACAATAGAGATTATTCTACCCCCTAGCATGATTTTTTTTGTCATGATTGGCTGAGAGCGCATCACGTAGTATGAAACATTTTAAGTGTTGCCTTGAAAAGCCGGTCAACAAATCGTACCAATGTTGCTAGGCTCTCATGGTCGTTGACATGGATGCGTATGTCACAGCAGAAAGTTCCAGAGATATTTTTTTGCAGCACAGTGAAAATACGCCGATTCATATAGGCCTAATTACAAACAATTTTTGAAACCCATAAAATGAACATTTACATATCTTACTGCGTAAGATTTCAGTTACACTCAGATGAGGAGCTGCAGAGTCTCGTTGCAAAAAAGGGCAGTAAGGACATAATCATAGGAGCTGTACAAGTGTTCGATGAATACTGCACTGCACGGACAGTGACTGTAGACGACCATGTCAGAAATCTCACCAGCAATATAAGCACATTTTATACTGAAGCTATCTATAAAGATGCGTACTTTATCTGACTATTGTAATTTGTAAACAAGTGCAGGTACAGTCCTTTTTGAGAACTGATATTCAGTGATAGATTTATTGAATTTGTGTAGCACAATCTTCGATTAAGTCAATTATTTCTCATATAAATAGCGTAATCACGTTATCTGAATAGACCTACGAGTTGAAACTGGATAAAGTGAGATACTGAAACATTATTCAATTACAACAAATAATACAAATAAAGATTATTGATTTATTATCGATTTTTGTGATGAAATGTGAAACTTTAAGATTTACATGTAAGCCCGAAGATTTAAGCTAAATATACTGTGACAGGGCTAATTAATTGGAGAATTGAGGAAAAACAAGACAATACATTATTTATTCACAACCATGATTTCTCCAGTGAAGATACAGGATTTTATAAAACTGAAAAAAAGAAGAGTAGTGATAAAGTAAAATAATTATCGACTGGTGATTTCGGGCAACAAATCATTTATTGTCCTCATAACCAGTCAATAGCTGTTTATTAATGGTAGACAGAAATTTCATCAAACATTGATAGTAAATACCCACAAAACAATTATTCAAAAACAGTAAAAACGATGGTGCTAAATGATGAGAGACGATATTGAATACTGATTATGAATGTTGATATCTAACATTGATAGCAGAAAAAGGCGGCATTTGTGGATGATAAATATTTATATTTGACATTGATAAAAGATAACAGCCGAAAGTATCGACAACTGTAGTTTAAAATTTGTTTATTTGTGTCGGATATTCACGCAATAGCCTAGAGGGAGGGCAGCAAGTCAACATCACCCACTGCCAACTCTTTGTATACTCTAATCGAAAAGAGAAAATTGACCAATAACCACTCTTAAAACAAACCTACTGGTCCCCCAGACTTATAACGTTAAATCCGGGGTTCGATTCACCCCGTGGTGAATACAGCAGATAGCCCAATGTGGCTTTGCTCAAAAAGAAAAACGAACCCACTGTCCGAGTGTGGAGTGCGATGGGGAATGTGAAACGTGTGCTCTCGGATTCACAGTCCAGCACGTTAATCACTAGGCACGTTTGGATATGAAACGTGGACTCTCGGATTCACAGTCCAGCACGTTAATCACTAGGCACGTCTAGTTCTTAGGTTAAAGTCAAGGGTCAAAGTCATCGTATAACAAAAGTAGGGGTAGTGTGGTCAGGTCCATGACCTGAATATAAAATCAATGACGACACTACAGTATTTTAGGAAATCAAGTAGATTCTTACTTTTATTGAATGTAAAAGTTAATATCTCTTTGTTTCTAGTATTACTAATAAGTTCTGTATAGAACCAATCGGCTTCATAAGCACATTTTTCTAATCTAATATAACCACTTCATTACTTGTGAATCCATGACTTAATTGGTTACATGGCCCGTAATAACATATAAAAATGTAAGCGAAAATACCTTCAATATTACAATTAATCCCATTAATTACAACTGGGGTTTCCTATTTATTATACATAGAAGATGTGTGATTTAACGTAATTTCTTTGGTACATTCTATATATTGATTGGTACAATATGCAGAGTCTACCAGAAGTTAATGGTACAGAAAAAAGTAGGTATTTGACGGTAATAAGAACTTGGATTTTGTCAAAGAAATAAAACTTGACGAAAATACATATGCTTTACTAATCGTCAACTGATTTAATATGTTGAGTTAAATACTAGAAAAAAAAAAACAATGTGCGAAACAGGATCTAGTAAAATATTTTTTAGAAAACTTTTTGTAACCTATACAAATACGTGCATAATGAAATCAGAAGAAAAAAAAAACTCAATGGGGACAAAAATCAACAGAAGAAATTAATACAAAGTCAAGTTAATCGTATTCACTAATAAAATAAAATAAATATAATACAAGCTCCAGAAAATCTATAAAATGCACAGAAGAAATGAGTCTATGAAAAAAATTATTTCACTTTATAAGAACGATTTACAAATGCTATACATTGGCGTTCCGCCACAACTGTCAATCATGGCATCATGGGCATCACGTTTAGCGCATATATTTGGTTCACGACGTATTCCTGATCATTCACAAAGTAATGCCGCTGCGAATAGACTTACTACTGAAGAAATATACGTACAATATTTGGATAGCGAGATTGTTAAACAATGTGGGACCATGTCGTCAACCTACAAGTGAAGACTATGGTAACGCAAGAGAGCACTTTAACCCAAATATCATTATGATGAAGCTGGGCATATCTCCTGGCACACTTAGAAAAATCAAAAACAAGGATTTGAAGATAAATGTTCGTATCTTCCAGACACACTAATCAACGGTTATTTTCATAAGAACGTTGACCAAAGAAACTGGAATCATAGCAACCTCATTGATCACATAACTATTAAGTCCCTGATGCAGCATCAGTGAACCGTTGTGGCTTTGGAATTGTTAAATATAGTATTGGAAGCCGACGAGTACAGAGGAAAAATCGTCAAAATTTGTGTTTTATTATCAACTTCGCCTTTACAGAAGCTTGTTACAATGAAAATTGTAGTGTAGAACAGTGGTGCATAATTATGACCATCAGAATGAACACAATCAACGATGGAGGAAACAGTTCCAATAGATGCGAGGGAACTGGAACATCACTCCTATAATGTTCAATTAACTTAAGTATAAGTAAATAAGTAGACTAGAAATCTACAGGTTATAATTTACAGAATTAAAAAATCATAAAACATGTGAATGATAAAAATCCTTAAAATGAGAGA